CCACAGTCTTCCCTGATTAGTCTTCCGCTCATCCTCAGCAGCCTAATCAGAACAATATCCTGTAGTCGCCCTTGCCAGGATTCGAACCAAGATTCTGATTCGTAGTCCGACGTGTTGTCCACTGCGCCCAGTTTGAAATGTTATAGATTCAGTAACAAATTCATTAAGACAATTTGATGGAATACGGTTTATTGAACGTAGGTCCATTAATATGCATATAAAAATAATCTAATCGAATACAGCTTCTTTACCGTGAATACATCAATATATAAGGCAAATTCAGCCCATAAAATACGGGTTACTGCATCAGGTGTAAAAGAACTGATGAAATCCAATTTGAAACGCGCCGTGGCTGCGCTAAAGGCCTCAGCAAGCAACAATCACACGGCGTTGTACAGAAGTTCGTACGAGGGAAGTTCAGCTTGGTTGCCATGTAAATTTATTCCAGGACTAGACTCCTTACTAGGTGCGCTGTCGCAGAGTCGTGTTGCGACGAACAGCCTCCCATGATTTATTTTACTCATGTCAATTGACGGTGACAGAAAAAATATCACATTAGTCCGATGTACATATATACACAATAGTATATGTATATGTATGTGTACACACAACACACACACACACACACACACACACACACACACACACACACACACACACACACACACACACACACACACACACACACACACACACACACACACACACACACACATACACACACACACACACACATTCACTAATAATGAAGTATCTGTACATTCTATAATGAAGAATATAATGCAGCATGGTTTTATGTTTATTTGATATTTGTATCTGGCAAAAAGGAAAAAGAAGTCGATCACTTTAATATATCGATTTTTTTTTTCAGCCATACATAATGTTTATTAAGGCATGAAGTGTTTTTCGTGTTTCAAGAAATATGCAGCTATGATTGATACTGCTTGTGTTGAAAGAAGGGAAATGCCGCCATCCCCACCATAGGCGTTGCCATTCCGATAAATATGCAATTCCAGGATATCGTATTTGAAGAATAGCCCATTACAAAGTCAACGATGTCTAATATTACATGTTTTGTTAGCATTTATTTGGAGAAAAACGAAAAAATGTTCATCAATACACTCATTGGTTATATTCGACCAATCACATTCTTTGTTACGAACTACGTAGGGTTCTATCCGAATTCATAAAAATACTATTTTTTATGTTTACTTCAATTGGTTGCCAGATGTACAAAAGTCAAAACCAGCAAATGTACTGAAATACAATTCCGTTCATTATATATATATATATATATATATATATATATATATATATATATATATATATATATATATATATATATATATATGTGTGTGTGTGTGTGTGTGTGTGTGTGTGTGTGGTGTGTGTGGTGTACATATATGTATATATATAC